TTTTGGCCTGCAAACAGAAAGGGCCATTAAGGTGGACATGGAGAATCATAATCATTGCATTATCTGCAATGTCTTCTACTGGGGATATACTGCGCTAAAAGCTGAACCTCAAGCTTTGATGCAGTTGCACTAAATTGCATGTCACAGTAAAGCAAAGTTACTGGTAGCAAAACTCTGAATATTGCATTTGTTCGAAAAGTCATGTGGGTAAGACAGGTTTGGACTGTCTCACGAGCACTTGCCTAGCTTTTTATAATACTGCTCCCATGCTTTAGAGTAGTCCATCTGGCCTGCCTGGGGTCCATTGTGACCTGTACCCAAATAATACAACATTGTATTAAATATATGACAAATACCAGTGTATTTAAGATGGACTCTGTAACATTTGGGGATATTTTCTTGATATACACCCTTTGGCCCAAACCTGTCAGAAGTCACTTGATTCGGGAATAATAGTAAACTGTTATGTTTTTTAATTTTCCTCAGTCAATTTGCGACGGAGGAAAATGTTCCTTCTGTCAATTTTTTGTGTGTTATTTGTAGAACATTTCTGTTTCTCCTACGCAATTGGTTCAAGCCATAGTAGACTACCCCTTTCAATTGGTTTACAAGCAAAAGAGGAGTGGATGAACGCTAATGTGTACCTACTAGACCTGGTTCATTCTAGGGCTGCATGATTCATCCAATTCACATCGAAATTGCGATATTGACATGTGCAATATCCATCTCGCAAGAGGCTGTGTGCGATATTTTGAAACACCACTCAGCCGCGTGCAACATGTTTCTCCAGTTTACTCGTTGTTACTTATGATTCTTCAGATGCTCGAGTGGTCTCTCGCTGTCCTCTGGTTTCCACTAGTTACCACAACCACAGTCAAAATCGGCTATATTGTAAAAATTAATGAAAACAAATATTTGCTTTTTAGTCTTAATTTAAGGTTAGGCGTAAGGTTAGCAGTGTGGTTAAGGTCAGGGTTAGGTTTAAAATCAGATTTTAAGAAGATCAATTGTAGAAATAGGTGGGGTTTATGATTTTGTAGCTGTGGTAACTAGTGACCCTGTCCTCCTGCGCCCACTTCCAACACACACCAAGATCGCCCCCTGCCATTCAAGCAGGCAGTACAGCTCCTGACTGTCCAAAGTTATATTCACACTGTCCGCATGCTGTTCTTATATTAATGCATGCAGTATTGCAAACAGATATATCCAATTTAGGTGAAAACAATGCAGCTTTCCAATTGCTTCTTAATCTGCATCTACATGTTTTCTCCTATTACTTTGTGAATCTTACTCTCTGCAAAAAGCTTGTTAGTTGAGTTACTTTTTTTTTAGCAAGCTGTATCTAGCCGCTAATGCTAATTGGACTGAGCTAAACTAATTTTTTATTTATTTATCCCTTATTTTACCAGATAAATTGACTGAGAATACATTCTCATTTACAGCAACGACCTGGGGAATAGTTATAGGGGAGAGGAGGGGGATGAATGAGCCAATTGGAAAGCTGGGTATGATTAGGTGGCCATGATGGCCAGATTGGGAATTTAGCCAGGACACCGGGGTTAACACCCCTATTCTGACGATAAGTGCCATGGGCTCTTTAGTGACCAGAGTCAGGACACCCGTTTAACTTCCCATCCGAAAGACGGCACCCTACACAGGGAAATGTCCCCAATCACTGCCCTGGGGCATTGGGATATTTTATTTTAGACCAGAGGAAAGAGTGCCTCCTACTGGCCCTCCAACACCACTTCCAGCAGCATCTGGTCTCCCATCCAGGGACCAACCAGGACCAAACCTGCTCAGCTTCAGAAGCATGTCAGCAGTGGGATGCAGGGTGGTATGCTGCTGGCATAAAGCAACATAGCTAGCTCACAAACGTTAGCTAGCTAATACTGACTGGTACCAGTGGTGGTGTAGATCTGAATGTGCAACGACATGTTCTGAACGAAACTCCTCCTCCTTGGCTTTTTCATTCATTGTCATGCCAAACACTGTATTCCAAGTGCCCACTGTATTCCAAACATAGAACTAGAAAATGATATTTCCTTAAGTAAACGTGTGCTAGCTTTTTCTTGAAGTATGGTTGTGAACAAAAGTTGTCATGGGGTTTAAAAAGCTTTGTAGTAGTTGTAGTAGTAGTGGTGGTAGGCTAATGACTGCAGTAATTAACCAATCCTAACCTAAACCATTAAGGGGGAAATGCTAACCTGACCCAAGCTCAGCATCTAGGGGCAATTTCACCCTACAACTTCTACTTCACTGATTACTGAGCTGATGAAATACCCTGGACAAATCAAACTCTGACGATCTGCTTGTATGCATGTATGAGTCTTAACTTCTTACATTTGAGAGATATTTGTAAGACACTGAAATTAGCCAAATGTTGCAGAGTCCATCTTTATATGTCTATTTCATATAAACTCAGTGCAAAATTGTTTCAAAACTATGTTTAAGCTGAGGAAATATCGATATCAAGATATTCCTGTAGAGTTTTAGCCTGATGGAACCAGCCTGATCTCTGCGTAGAGATCAGGCTGGTTCCACCAGGCTAGCAGAGTTGATGTTAATTGCAAAATACAAGACAGGGTTGCCAAATGTTTACGGGCTGTGCTTATGACGAGATGTAGCGGAAAAGGTGACTTACTGGGGTCCTGCTGGCCTTGAGGCTGCCATGTTTGATAAGTAGTCCCCCATCCTCCTGTCATGAATGTCTGGGCTCCACTGCCACAACTTATCAAGACAGAAAGCAGACAGAGTTACAGCAACACAAAGAAAATGCATATAGTAGACAAAAAAACGACAGGGGCGAACAGAAAGTGTGACTTACCTTTGATGAGTTGCAGGGCCTTGAGAGAAAGGGCTAAACCCAAAATTACCGTTGCTCACTATTCCTGAGCCCTGAAAAAACCCAGATACATTCAACAGTGTTAAGCAAAGTAAATAACTCCAGGTTGAATTAGTTGAAATCAAGGCTGTATTTATTTAGTCGACTAACAGTTAATAATTAAAATGTTTAGACATTTCATGCAATTTGCCTAGGTTGCCCTGTTGACTAATTGAGACTTAGTCTTCTGACTTAACACTAGAACCGCGAGGCCTTTCAGCCGATAAGTATCCACTAGAGAATGTTGGCGGGTGGCGTCATTAGCATACGCCTGGCCTCGATGGACCCCCATTTCAGCCAATGACGGGTCAACATTCTAACAGTCTAATAAACTCATTTCATATACAGTGCATTCAGAACGTATTCAGACCCCTTGACTTTTTCCACATTTTGTTACGTTACAGCCTTATTCTAAAATGGAATAAAAATAAATCCTCATCAATCTACACACAATACCTTATGACAAAGCGCAACGTTTTTTTTTTTTTTTTTTGCAAATGTATAAAAAACAAAATGTATAAATACCTTATTTACGTAAGTATTCAGACCCTTTGCTATGAGACTCGATAATTGATCTCAGGTGCATCCTGTTTCCATTGATCATCCTTGAAATGTTTATATACCTTGATTGGAATCCACCTGTGGTAAATTCAATTGATTGGACATGATTTGGAAAGGCACACATCTGTCTATAAGGTCCGACAGTTGACAATGCATGTCAGAGAAAAAACCAAGCGAGGTCGAAGGAATTGTCCGTAGAGCTCCGAGACAGGATTGTGTCGAGGCACAGATCTGGTGAAGGGTACCAAAAAATGTCTGCAGCATTGAAGGTACCCAAGAACACAGTGGCCTTCATCATTCTTAAATGGAAGAAGTTTGGAACCACCAAGACTCTTCCTAGAGCTGGCTGCCCGGCCAAACTGAGCAAACGGGGGAGAAGGGCCTTGATCAGGGAGGTGACCAAGAACCCGATGGTCACTCTGACAGAGTGCCAGAGTTCCTCTGTGGAGATGGGAGAACCTTCCAGAAGGACAACCATCTCTGCAGCACTCCACCAATCAGGCCTTTATGGTAGAGTGACCAGACGGAAGCCACTCCTCAGTAAAAGGCACATGGCAGCCCGCTTGGAGTTTGCCAAAAGGCACCTAAAGGACTCTCAGACCATGAGAAACAAGATTCATTGGCCTGAATACCAAGCGTCAAGTCTAGAGGAAACCTGGCACCATCCCTATGGTGAAGTATGGTGGTGGCAGCATCATGCTGTGGGGATGTTTTCCAGCGGCAGGGACTGGGAGACTAGCCGGGATAGCTCAGTTGGTAGAGCATGGCGCCTGCAAAGCCAGGGTTGTGGGTTCGTTTCCCACGGGGGGCCAGTATGAAAATGTATGCACTAACTGTAAGTCGCTCTGGATAAGAGCGTCTGCTAAATGACTAAAATGTCAAATGTAATGAACGGAGCAAAGTACTGAGAGATCCTTGATGAAAACCTGCTCCAGAGCACTCAGGACCTCAGACTGGGGCAAATGTTCACCTTCCAACAGGACAACTACCCTAAGCACACAGCCAAGACAACGCAGGAGTGGCTTCGGGACAAGTCTCTGAATGTCCTTGAGAGGTCCAGCCAGAGCCCGGACTTGAACCTGATCGAACATCTCTGGAGAGACCTGAAAATAGCTGTGCAGCGACGCTCCACATCCAACCTGACAAAGCTTGAGATGATCTGAAGAGAAGAATGGGAGAAACTCCCCAAATACAGGTGTGCCAAGCTTGTAGCATCATACCCAAGAAGACTCGAGGCTGTAATCGCTGCCAAATGTGCTTCAACAGAGAACTGAGTAAAGGGTCTCAATACTTAAATAAATGTGACATTTCAGTTTTCAAAAAATCTGTTTTTGCTTTGTCATAATGGAGTACTGTGCGTAGATTGATGAGAACAAAATAATAAAAATCATAAATTTTAGAATAAGGCTGTAACGTATCAAAATGTGGAAATAGTCAGGGGTCTGAATACTTTCCGAATGCACTGTATGCTATCAGAAGAACAATCATTTGTTTGTGTTTATGAAGGTTTTTGGTTTAAAAAAACTAAAAACCACTAGTTCAAGAGTTAAATCCATCAAAGAAATCCGTTATAATTTAGTTTGGCAGGTCTAAAGAAACATTGTTGAAATAAGAAAATGTATTTAAAAAATCCACAGCATATTTTAAGTAGATTATGTTACTAGTCCTTGCTTAGTAGCCTGAGCAATGCTGTCGTGTGAGTGCTCATGTGCTGAACGCATGGACAGTGCGGTTATTCTTGGAAAAAGTGATGTTTGGAAATAGAGCTACACCTCTTGAATATTGAGAGTTATTTGACAAAGGTAAGTGTCATAGAATCTGCAGAATATGCTCTCTGATACCATCTAGAATAAGTTTTACCTGCATGTGACTCTAGAGGAGGATTTGATAAAGTGGTGCTCCTTTCCCTGCCTCTGTCAATTCCAAGCTGCACCCATCTCTTCATGTACAATTTGACAACTGATAATATTGTCACTCAGACTATTGTCAATTTAATCTTGTCTTTAGGCTCTCTCTTATTAAGTGTGAAATTAGTTTTGGTTTTGTTTAGGTGTAGTTTTAAATGGGACAGCTGCGCAGGATGTCTGGCATCGTTCGCTCATCAACTCGGATAGAGTCAAGGATATGTTTTGCATTATTCTAAAGGCCTACTGCAACATGTAGCATGTTTCCCGTACAACATATTTGATTAGTAATAGAGTTATAGTAAATAATACAGTCCAGTAACAACATCTTTATACAAAGAAAAACTTAAGAGAATGATATCAACCAGCAAGGCGCGCAGTCAAATTACTTGCTATAAACATGAGCGCCAACGCTGATAAATAGGCATAACACAAATGTAAAGAATCAATAGCATAAAGAAATAGTTGTGAAAATATATTTTCATGACAAGATATGAAAACAAGTAATTTATTGATTGTATCGGACCCTGTACCTGTGCCGTAACGCATGAATCAATCTCATGCTCTCGATTTCAGTCACAATGGACACAATTCTTCATCATCACACTATTGTTCTATATGAAGTCACCTCTTCACCCTCTTTATCTTTCATTATAGCCCAATTTAAATTCAACTGTGAAGTAATGTGCACAATTATCAGTTTCTATCGTCCATGCATTCAGTGAGGAGAGAAAGACGTTAGCGCCTGGCTAAGTACCAACGTCCTACAGCGCATTTGTCTTGGCCCGTTAAGGTCTTACTTTTATGTTTGTGATTAAAGAATTCTGACAACTGAGCAATATAAAATACAAACATTTAGGAAAAGTCAGGGAAGGAGCAGGACGTAGCATTTTTGACACTTTTTTTGGGGTACAGAATCAAACATCAGTGGCCATTGGCCTACGGCAGTTCTAGTGTTAAAGGTACTTGACTTGGGGGAACTTTTTCAAACAACTACTTACTCCGATCTTGTCGTCGATGAGCTGGCGTGCTAGTTCCATCTGTTGCGGGGTGCCTCTGATGGAGAAGATGCGGACATTGGGGTCGGTGTTGTGAGGAGGGTTCCTCTGCAGCTCCACGTGGGCTCCAGACTGCTGGTTGATGCTTTTGATGGTATCTCCACCTGGACAGACACCACAAAACATCACACCACATGTGACCACTGACGGCTGGGAATAACACATCCTTTGTCATCGCCCTTGCTGTTTTGTGTGCAATAGGGTTGGGCCGATATACGATAATATTGAGTATCGTCAAAATTTGACCTTGACGTTATATAGTTGAGATATCGTAATGTGCAAGACGATTCTCTAGTTTTATCAGCTGGGCTGTATCAATATGTTAAAAATTAAGTCTAAATGAATTAACTAGTTCTTATTTTATTGCTTTGAGAGTATTTTAAATGAAAAGCAACCATAATATCATAAATAAGCACAAAAATAGCACAGAGTAGTATTATTTAGTCATTAAAGGAAAATACCACTCAAAAACTATATATTTTGGTATTTGTTTCATTAGTCCACTGTTGATACAGTCCCAACATATTTTGCATATCATCAATCAAGTTTTCAAGATATAAAACTTTCAAAATATAGAAAATTCAACAGTATGATGCGTTTTGCAAACTTGATTGCTGACATGCAAAACATTTTGGGACTGTATCAACAGTGGACTAATGAAACAAATACCAAAATATACATTGAACAAAAACAAACGCAACATGTAAAGTGTTGGTCCCATGTTTCATGAGCTGAAATACAAAATCCCAGAAATGTTCCATAAACACAAAAAGCTTATTTCTCTCAAATGATTTGTACAAATTTGTTTACCTCACTGTTAGTGAGCATTTCTCCTTCGCCAAGATAATCCAGCCACCTGACAGGCGTGGCATATCAAGAAGCTGATTAAACAGAATTATCATTACAGGTGCACCTTGTGCTGGGGACAATAAAAGGCCACTAAAATGTGCAGTTCTGTCACACAACACAATGCCACAGCTGTCTCAAGTTTTGAGGGAGCATGCAATTGGCATGCTAACTGGAGGAATGTCTACCAGAGCTGTTGCCAAATAATTTAATGTTAATTTTTCTACCATAAACTGCCTCCAACGTCATTTTAGAGAATTTGGCAGTACGCCCAACTGGCCTCACAACCGCAGACAACATGGAACCAAGCCAGCCCAGGACCTCCACATCTGGCTTCTTCACCTGCGGGATCGTCTGAGGGGGGTTGCTGAGGTGTATTTCTGTCTGTAATAAAGCCCTTTGTGGGGGAAAAATATATTCTGATTGGCTGGGCCTGGCTGCCAAGTGGGTGGGACTATGCCCTCCAAGGCCCACCCATGTCTGCACCCCTGCCCAGTCATGTGAAATCCATAGATTAGGGCCTAATGAATTTATTTCAATTGACTGGTTTCCTTATATGAACTGTAACTCAGTAAAATCTTTGAAATTGTTATATGTTACGTTTATATTTTTGTTCAGTATAGTTTTTTAGTGGAATTTTCCTTTAAAAAGGTGCACTACGCAGAAATCACTCCATTTCCTGGTTGCAAAAATTCTAATGTTTGTCTATTTAATATGCCATTTAGCAGACGCTTTTATCCAAAGCGACTTACAGTCATGCGTGCATACATTTTTGTGTTTGGGTGGTCCCGGGGATCGAACCCACTACCTTGGCGTTACAAGCGCCGTGCTCTACGTGCAGCAAAAAAAAGATTCCTCTCACTGTCAACTGCGTTTATTTTCAGCAAACTTAAAGTGTAAATATTTGTATGAACATAACAAGATTCAACAACTGAGACATAAACTGAACAAGTTCCACAGACGTGACTAACATAAATTGAATAATGTGTCCCTGAACTAAGGGGGAGGGGTCAGTCCCCTGTAGCTCAGTTGGTAGAGCATGGCGCTTGCAACGCCAGGGTTGTGGGTTCGTTTCCCACGGGGGGACAGTATGAAAATGTATGCACTCACTAACTGTAAGTCGCTCTGGATAAGAGCATCTGCTAAATGACGTAAATGTCAAAATCAAAATTAAGTCAGTATCTGGTGTGGCCACCAGCTGCATTAAGTACTGCAGTGCATCTCCTACTCATGGACTGCACCAGATTTAACAGTTATTGCCCCCACTCTTCCACCAAGGCACCTGCAAGTTCCCGGACATTTCTGGGAGGAATGGCCCTTGCCCTCACCCTCCGATCCAACAGGTCCCAGACGTGCTCAATGGGATTGAGATCCGGGCTCTTCGCTGGCCATGGCAGAACACTGACATTCCTGTCTTGCAGGAAATCACGCACAGAACAAGCAGTATGGCTGGTGGCATTGTCATGCTAGAGGATCATGTCAGGATGAGCCTGCAGAAAGGGTACCACGAGGGAGGAGGATGTCTTCCCTGTAACGCACAGCGTTGAGATTGCCTGCAATGACAACAAGCTCAGTCCGATGATGCTGTGACACACCGCCCCAGACCATGACGGACCCTCCACCTCGATCCCGCTCATTCCTTTGACGATAAATGCGAATCCGACCATCACCCACAAGTCCTGAAAGGACTTTTTGCCAGTCCTGTCAGGTCCAGCAATGGTGGGTTCGTGCCCATAGGCGACGTTGTTGCCGGTGATGTCTGGTGAGGACCTGCCTTACAACAGGCCTACAAGCCCTCAGTCCAGCCTCTCTCAGCCTATTGCGGACAGTCTGAGCACTGATGGAGGGATTGCGCGTTCCTGGTGTAACTCGGGCAGTTGTTTTTGCCATCCTGTACCTGTCTCGCAGGTGTGATGTTCAGATGTACTGATCCTGTGCAGGTGTTGTTACACGTGGTCTGCCACTGCGAGGACGATCAGCTGTCCGTCCTGTCTCCCTGTAGCACTGTCTTAGGTGTCTCACAGTACAGACATTGCAATTCATTGCCCTGGCCACATCTGCAGTCCTCATGCCTCCTTGCAGCATGCCTAAGGCACGTTCACGCAGATGAGCAGGGAACTTGGGCATCTTTCTTTTGGTGTTTTTCAGAGTCAGTAGAAAGGCCTCTTTAGTGTCCTAAGTTTTCATAACTGTGACCTTAATTGCCTACCGTCTGTAAGCTGTTAGTGTCTTAACGACCGTTCCACAGGTGCATGTTCATTAATTGTTTATGGTTCATTGAACAAGCATGGGAAACATTGTTTAAACCCTTTACAATGAAGATCTGTGAAGTATTTTGGATTTTTACTAATTATCTTTGAAAGACAGGATCCTGAAAAGGGGACGATTATTTTTTTGCTAAGTTTAAATTTTCCATAACCAAAAATACTGTATTTTCAGCAGTTTGAAGCTGGTGTACAAAACCGAAGGTAAAAGACACAAAAACCTAAACTTTGGAATGGTTGCTGGCCTGCTTCTCTAACCGAAGCTAGCTGAGAATGAACATTTAAACGAAAGAAAACTGCTAAATTATAATGCTATGTCGGAACATAAAAAGTAGGTTACTTGAATATCAAAGAGATCTCCTTTAATGCCGGCCGTACAATACACAACTTCCAAAATCCTAAGAACGCTGAGCCTCTCACATTAAACGATCGTCTTTCCTGTAGTTTGTCTTGCCAATGTAGTGGTACGCAATGTGGCACAGACGGGGACACACACACACACACACACACACACTACAAGATTCTTCACTTGGTCGTGAGGAATCTCGATACCACGCTGACTCGCAAAAACAATATGATTATGTGATTAGATGTTTAATGTAGCTCGCACGAGCTGTGGCTCAAAGTAGCCTCAAACGTTTTCAGTCAGACATTAACACTTGCCATACAGAGTTGAAATATCTGGCCAATACATTTTGAATTGAATAACATTGCTTGTGAACTTCAGAGCTGTAACGATGACACTTTCGCTCTGCTCGAGAGCCTACACATTCTGGTTAATGCAATACAACGTCATCTCACTGGCTTCTTCTCTGGCGAGCTCTCATTGTCTGTTGCTGATCACCGTTCTCAAAAAATATCGGGACGTCTGGGATGGCTCAAAGACGGAATAGGTATCCCTCAGATCGAGTCTCTGGGCCGCTCACATTAAACAAGTGTTGGTGACGGCCGCGCGCCCCAAGTAGGCATGGGTATTTTGTCTCCGATCTCCCGGTGTAGGACAGATAAATCGGAGCCAAAATCATGTAATGTACACCCGGCTTTATATGAACATTGTCCAAACATTGAGGAAGGTGCAGCTTCTTTTTGGATGTGGTAAAATATTTGCAGGCAAATATATTATCTAATAGAGTATGAACCGACCAAAAAAGCAACCAATAACATTTCTAACGAAAATCCTAAAATATAGTAAGAAACCTTTGCCTAGTTGGTTAAAATCATATGATGCACACCAGATGATAACATTAGTCTCTGGATCATGTCATCGGAAACACATCTTCTATCATTTTAACTACAAAACATAGAAACCTGACATTTTCACATACTGTATGTTGACATTGCAGTGGTGCTGGAGATGATGAATTTGATGTAATAAAATAAAAAATATTCCACTCTATGAGGCTAATATGATCAACTAGTCCTTCACATGCATTCATAAACACTACACAAAAAAGGTGCATTTCTAATATTATGAAACAATGGCCGAGATGTCTGGAGTTTGTAACAAGATGTACTGAGGTGTAAGGGAATGTTGCACGCTTATAAACTAAAACAGAAAGCAAAACAAAAAGTCCACACCTCTCCACGTCTCAATTTTCCCTTTACAACCGTGAAAATTAGCGACAAAAATGAAAGGCACTTCCCGCCAGGCCGACATAAAGGTTGTCTGTTGAGTGCCACCAGTCTATGTGGTGTCTGCAGCTCGACCTCTGTGTGTGGGGAGCAATTACATGTCAGGCCAAACAGAACCAAAAAATTAATTAATCTGTATCCCTTTTTTGGGGGGTTTCGCAGTCTGTGGCTCTGAGGCGGGCAGGCATTCACAAATCAGTTCACCCTAGTGCCAAGTCCTACCAAAGACCCCAGAGGGCCAACCGTTTCCCTCCACCTCCACTTTTTTTGGAGGGGGGGGGGGGGGGGGGGGGGGGGGGGGGGGGGGGGGTAATTCATTTTCATAATGGAAAAATGCTTTCAGTGTAAAATTTTAAACGACTAAAACCAGCTAAAAAGTATTTAAAAAAGGTAATGGACCTACAGTACCAGTCAAAAGTTTGG